TGTGCTTAAATATAGTTACAGTTATTCCCCTGGTTAAAAAAAAAATGTTTAGTAGCCTTTTTCTTGACACTTTATACTACCAGTTTCTACATATGCAGTAACCTAGATTTAAATCCTTATGTGACTGCAGTATGTAGGTTCTAGCTTTGTTACTAACAATAAAACAGGAATTTATTCATGCTAATTTAAAGTCTGTAGAATAGATTAGCTTCAAAATTGTTACGTAAATTACATAAATTCTTTTTGCAGTAACATTGCTCTTTTTTAAACTGAAAATTAAAATATGCATAGTATAAAGACTAATTAGGGACTACAGTATTACATATTTAAAGTAGTGAAATAAGCAAGTCATAACTTCATCAACAGAAGGGTGTTTTATATGTTTTAATCTATGTATATCTAGTTGTATAGCAATTATTTTTATGGAAAAATGAAGATATAAAATATATTTAAATTAAAAAAAAAATTTAATTTTCAAAGGCAGTGGTATAGCTCAAAACAAGTAGATGGAATGTTTTAAACTACAGAGATTAAATAATGTCATCAACAGGGAAAGAATCAGACAGGTGAGAGAGATGATCTGTTTTTGGCATTTTGTTACTGAATATATTTTACATGTATGGCCATGTCATACTTCTATGTGCCAGTTCCCAATAGTTAATCATTGGTTATATGAGTTGTACAATGGTAATTGGTAAAGGCGAAATACATTATAAGACCATCAGGATTTGCATACTCAGGTCACCACAGACTTCACATATAGACTCATTTTTGAAAATATATAATTATTAATATGGCAGACATATAAAAATCCTAGCTTTTCTTTTTTGAAGTTTTTCATATCATATAAGGGTTTTTGACATAAGTTAATTCATTTGTGAACATTAAAGTTACTTTTAAAATGAATATCTTATGATTTGGTAATATATACCTATTGATACAATTATCTGAAATTATGAGAATTTTTACAGAACCCATAAAATTTCTTTCAGCTACTCTGGCAACTCTAGTAAGAAACAAATATGTAGACTGCTATAGGGGTGAGAGTGTGAAATGTTATCATATCGTGGGATAATTGAGAGGGAAGTACAGTGGTACCTCTACTTACGAACTTAATCCGTTCCGTGACTCTGAGCGCAAGTCGAGTTGGTCGCAAGTCAAAGTAAATTTTCCCATAAGGTTGAATGTAATTACTGTTAATCCGTTCTGTCGTCCGCAGACCACGCGTCAGGGGCAGAAAAATGGCCGCTGACCACGCGGCAGGGCGGAAAAAATGGCCGCGGACCACGTGTCAGGGGCGTAAAAACGGCCGCAGACCATGTGGAACGGGCAGAAAATGGCCGCGGACCACATGGAATGGGTGGAAAAATGGCCGCAGACCACCTGGAACAAGCGGAAAATGGCCCCGGACCCCATGGCACGGGGAGAAAACAGGGCGCAGACCACGTGGAGTGGGCGGAAAATGGCTCG